TAAATCTAAATCTAAATCTAAATCTAAATCTAAATCTAAATCTAAATAATATAAATAACATTGTGACCAGCAGCTATTAAATGACAGTAATATAAAAATGTTTGAACATGCTCTGGTCATGTTGTTATCTCAAGCCTTTGTGCCCCACGTTGGGTTTCAGAAAGCACTGCTGTGGTTTAACGTAGCAGGCAGCTCAGCACCACACAGCTGTTCACTCCTCTCTTGATGTGGGATGATCAGGGCAGTCTGAGAAGCTGGGAAGTCCTTGCCTTAGTATAAATACTACTCAACAATAGCCAAAATGGCAGTGCGTTATCAGTGTTGTTCTCATCCTAGTTCCAAAGCACAGTAAAATTCCATCTCTTAGGAAGAAAGCCAACTCTATCCCCACCAGAAGCAGGACGCCTTCATATTTGCCCTAAAGAGACATTGCACAGGTGCTGGCAGTTAACTCTGTTGCTTTTCTTAAGCAGGATAAGTTACCTCATCTCGGTGAGGAGTGTAGAGGTGTATGGATTTTGTTTGTTTCTTTTTCTTTCTTGTTTTTTGTTTGTTTGTTTGTTTGTTTGTTTTGTTTTGTTTTGGACATCAGTTTCAGTTTTGGGGCATATCTTTTCTTCATCTTTTCTTCCATTAAGCCACTCTGCAAGTGCTTGTGTCCACATGGGCCAGAATCGCTGAGCAATGCAGTTTGAAGGCTCTCCATGAGCCTTACACCAACATTTCTTTTCTCTGGTAAGGAAACGGCCAAGGAGGTTGCTCTGTGGTGCACCAAACTCTGTGGTGTATCCAGGGTCACATGCAATTTCTGTGGCATGCTCCACTTGCCAAGCTTAAACAGTGTGCTCTCAGATGCTGGAGGTCTTTTCCTTCCTAGGGGCAATGGAGAGCCTTGGGTGAGTGGACCTTGGCCTCGCTGTAATATCAGTTGGGGAAGCAATTAGAGGGATGTGTGCTCTGCAAATTACTTGTGCATCAAATCAACTCTTATAGGCCAGGACATATTCAAGCATTCTCACAAGCAGACCATATGTAAAAATAAATAGATTTTTACTATAATAGTAAATTAATAGGCTGCTTCCTGGGTTTATGTCAAGGTTTTGGTAGCAGGAGGCTGCAGGTATGACCTCTGTGAGAAGAGACCAGGACCAATCCCCACATCAGACAGTCAGCTCCAGCTGGCTCAGAAAGTGAGCTGCCACTGGCCAAAGTTGAGCCAACCAGTGGTGCTGGTGGCTTCTCTGTGATAAGATGTTAAGAAAGCATTAAGAAGGCTGTGCAGTACCTGTGAGAGAAAGGAGTGAAAAAAATGTGTAAGAAACACTGTTGCAGACACCAAGATCAGTAGAGAAAGAAGGTGTTCCAGGTGCCAGAACAGGGATTCCTGTGAAGGCTGTAGAGAAGACC